AAAATAAGTTTAGATATAGAAATAAAATGCACCATTACTCTACTGCATGCACAGTAACAAAATTTAAAATTTGTATGTGTTAGGGTTAGAAATCACTGTATTTTTGGATTTTAATGTCAGTGAACAGGAAAAAAAATATATGTTTACTAGGTATAATCTTAAATGCATTACCTCCTTGGTGAATTCCAGACGGGATTTCATGTTCAGATTTCCACCAAGTCCCCTTATGAGATTAACAATAAATTGTTCATGATCTTTGCATCCATGTAGATGCGACAAACCATTCAAAACTGTTCCAACCAAACTTGTTTCTACCACATAGTCATTCTGTTGATTGAAATTCACAAAAGGCAATGCTATTAATCAGTAAATTTACAACCACACAAATTGATATTCACTTAAATTTCAAGGACTGCTTTTAAAACTTAATAACTGAAGAAAAAATTGCTCTATTCAAGTTATAGAAGGATTAAGTGTATTTCATTTAGATACTTATTTTTAAAATATAGGGTAATCATAAACACCCAACTATATATTTCCAGCTGAAAGTACTAGAGTCCACAAATAGATGCATAGTTTGTTTCTTCCTGAACCTGAAGATTACAAAAGAAAAGGTAAATCAGTGCTCATGGTCTAAAAAAAAGTCCATTTCTTCTTGCAGACAAACAGGAAGCTAAAAGGAATGCTAGATTGATGGCACTGGAAAAGAAAGGCTAGGAAAAGCAGGCTTACATGAAAAACCATTGGGAGCCTTCTCACTAAGCAGGATTTTAAAATAAAATTTTTGGATTGAAGTGGTATAGACTATTTTGTTCTTCTATGGATGTCTGAGGTCCCTGTGTAATTCTGGGGAGTTAGAAGGAAAAAAAAGGTACTCATTCTTTCCTGAGAATTTACTGAGGATCAACTATGCATTAAAAACTGCATGTTAAAACTTTCACCTATATCACAATAAAAATTAAAAGAAAAAAAGTTCTGCAGGTAGTGGTAACCAAAAAACTCTTCCCTTCAAAATGATTCTTACTCATAGCGACCTTATGAAATTTTTTTTAAGCTAATAAGATAATTTTTATTTTTAGTTTTTTAAATATAAAAAAAGGCAGCTAAACACAAAGTACAAATCAGAAAACTCGTTCAGTATAGATTTTGAAAAATAAAAATATTTTAACAATGTAAATTTCTGTCCCACACTAAAATGTGAAACTTCTTTCCCAAACTTAGCAACCACCTAAAAAGTGTTCAAACCAATGAACATCCACCATGACCAATTTCAATGACCTGGAAAAGGGTGGGACAGGAGATTAGTCATCAGAGCCAGCTGCACGCAGATGGGCAAATGCTGGCAGTCACTCCCAAATATACCCTACATCATATATAAATCACAATGAAAATAAATTGCTTACATCTTGGAACTGTGAAATTTTGTTTAAAAAGTAACAATAATAAAAATAAACTGTTGGGTATCATTGGTGCACATGGAATAATACAACACACAAGGCTGGAAAATATTGAAATACAGTTAAGACTCAAAACACAAATTTCACTTTAAAAAAATAAAGAAAAGTTTACCAGAGAAATAAATGCTAGAGAGGAAAGTAGACCGTCCACAGGAGGGCTTTTCAGACCAATTTGAAACAACACAGACACATCCCACCCATCCATAACCCACCACAAATACAGTAAAAAGGAGGGGAGAGAAAAGGTAAAAATTAAAAAGTCTTTCCTAAATTTCACACCCCAAAGAATTTAATAGAGGAAAGTTCCTGACACTGAACTTTGTCCTTCTGACGTTTCTCCCTGTAGCATTTTTCTTTCATAACATTGGTTCCATCTGTTTCTCCCCCAGAAAATCCAACCTCCTGGAATCAGAGTGTGATAAGTGTCAGTTATATTAAAGTCAACTGAAGTATGTATATTAACCAAAAGCTCTAAATTAACAACCGAAAGAGAAGACCTCAAATCTTAGTCTCAATTCAGCATCTGGTGATTAGTATTTGGCACTAGTTGGATAAATGTCTAATCAGAATTTGTGACAAGAGGCAGGTGTAGTTAAACCACAACCAAATCACAGGCAAAGATATAGTCTCAAAGTTAAAAAGCAGGTATAAACAGCTACATACAAAGATAAGAACTGGTAAGGAAACATTAATGAGATATAAACAGAACTAAGCAAATTAGCTCGACAAACACAAACTCTGGCTAAAAAAGAAAAAAAAAAAAAACTGAACACATCATATCCATCTTGTAATTCGTATATATGGGCATTTTTCCACCATTAAACTATAGTTTAAATATAGGATGTCTTTCTCCTGTACTAAGATTATTCTATCCATTTCTCCTAATCCTTAGAGCTTAATAAGAAATCATTTATTCTATAAAGAAAAATAGCATATATGACCACAATCTAAAATATGCTTATAACAAGAAAATTATGTCACTTAAAAAAATAATCTTGCGAAAATGGGCGAGGGGCGGGGCAAGATGGCGGACTAGGCAGAAGGATTGCACAGAACCTCTTCAACAAAGAAAAGGGAAACCAATTAACACAGACACAGAAGATAATCTTGGACCCCTGAGCCTTGAA